TATTACAGAATTTTTTTATAAACCATATATATAAACCATATATAAGGTGCAGCGCTATAATAACATATGAATATATAAAAACACTAAAGTGCAAATATCAAATCACACTGCATCATGCAAGCCCAGGACCCTTTGATAATGTGCACTGCACGAAATGCGTCAGGGGGCTGCATTATCTGGACGTCTGACCACCGCTGGTGGTCATACTTTACAGTATCTGGTCAGTGTTCTATTTTACTTCATTTGTATTTTATTTTTCATGCTGCACCTTTAAATAAACTCAGTTTATACGGTATCACACTATGTGGTGTCCCTTATTGGGCTCTCTTCTATGAGAGTCCCCACTAGCAGAATCTACCTTAAAAGGGGACCCCGGATGGTGACATGCCTGAGATACGCATATGAAACTTGAAGCACACACCCAAGGGGCGATTTGGAAGGTGTAGGATTCTATCTCTATCTTGGCAACGGATGATCGCTATCTGATATCACAGGATAAAAACCTTATATGCGTTTTTTTTGACGCACGTCTGGTGAGTGCGTAATTTTTACCTCAGATTCACCGTGTGCTACACAGAATCTTATCCCACGCACCTACTAGGATCGTTTGGATCCCCACTTTTGATTTATTTATTTTGGGACTAATATTCATCTCACTTAACTTCGCCTCAGTGTGATTTGATATTTGCACTTTAGTGTTTTTTATATATTCATATGTTATTATATGCACCTTATATATGGTTTATATATATATATGTCTATGTACTTTATCAGAAGGTTTTCTCTTGGTCACCTTTTGGTGTTCTAGCCGCTTTCAGATCTCCGGATAGCGCTCGCTTTTTATTATTTTTTGCATTTAGAATTTTTTTATAGTTTGCTCAGCGCTTTACAATATAAGGGAGACAGTACAATTACAATCATTTCAGTACAGAAGGAATAGGAGAGCCCGGCTCATGGAGTTTACAATCTAAAGGAAGGGGGAGGTGATACAAAAGGTGATAGCTGCGGGGGATGATCTGGCGGAGGTGATTCAAGTACAGTTCTTAGGTGGAGGTGGGGTAGGCTTCCCTGAAGAAGTGAGTTTTCAAAGATCGCCTAAAGGCAGACAGGGTGGGCTGACCGGACATGCTGTGGTAGGGAGTTCCAGAGGATGGGAGAGGCTCTGGAGAAGTCCTGAAGGCGAGCGTGGGAGGAAATGATGAGGGATCTAGAGAGGAGGATATCATGGGAGGAGCGGAGTGGGCGATTTGGGCGGTATCTGTGAATGAGGTTGGTGATGTAGCTAGGGGCAATGTTGTGGATGGCTTTGTAAGCCGTGGTTAGTATTTTGAATTTTATACGTTGGGTTAGTGCGGGTGTCGGCAACCCGCGGCTCCAGAGCTGCATGCGGCTCTTTTTCACCTTGGCTGCGGCTCCGGAGCACACTGCCCACCAGGTGACAGGCAATAGGGCAGCAATGGGCAAACTACGGCCCGGCAGACCTTTTAAATCCGGCCCGCGGAGCTAGGCTCCCGCTAGGCTCCTCTCACAGTCCGCCCTGAAGACCGGTGTAGCATGAAAATCTGTCTCCTATGAGGATCTGTCCCCCTCGACGTATCTGCGCATGTGCCGGAGATCGCCGATCGGCTGCTAATGCCTGAAACTGGCACATGCGCAGATACGTCGAGGGGGACAGATCCTCATAGGAGACAGATTTTCATGCTACACCGGAACGGCGCGGGAACACGGCGAGAGGAACGCGCGGAGCAAAGGTAAGTGAATTGACACAGGGGGGACTTGGGGACTTAATATGGGGGATGAATTAATATGGGGATGAATTACTATAGGGGGGATGAATTACTATATGGGGGATGAATTACTATGGGGGATGAATTACTATATGGGGGATGAATTACTATGGGGGATGAATTACTATATGGGGGATGAATTACTATATGGGGGATTAATTACTATGGGGGATGAATTACTATATGGGGGAATGAATTACTATATGGGGGATGAATTACTATATGGGGGATTAATTACTATGGGGGATGAATTACTATATGGGGGATGAATTACTATGGGGGATGAATTACTATGGGGGATGAATTACTATATGGGGGATGAATTACTATATGGGGGATGAATTACTATATGGGGGATGTATTTTCAGTTTTAAAAATGTGGCTCTCAAAATAAATTTCAATCGTGGTTTTGGCGAGATTTGGCTCAGTTGAAAAAAAAGGTTGCTTACCACTGACCTAAGGCTATGATTGTGATTATGACGATACACTGTGGCCCTGATTAACCCTTTGCTTACTGGGCCCTTAAACCCCCTTCATGACCAGAGCGCTTTTTGCAATATATGCAGTGTCGGATTTGTTTTAAATGTTGCAATGGTTTTGCGGCTCCCAGTTTTTTTTCCCTCTCGGAAACGGATCCAAGTGGCTCTTTATGTCTTAAAGGTTGCAGACCCCTGGGTTAGTGGAAGCTAATGAAGGGATTGGCAGAGAGGGGCAGCAGTCGCTGATCGCTTGGTAAGGTGTATGAGTCTAGCAGCAGCATTCATAATAGACTTAAGGGGGATAGCCTGTGTAACGGTAGACCAGTGAGGAGGGAGTTGCAGTAATCAAGGCAGGATATAACCAAGGCGTGGATAAGTTGTTTGAGTGGCAATGCGTACACATTCAACGCTTTTTTGCGTGAACAATCTCTAAAGCTCACCACACATGTTACAGTACTGATTGTACAATCTCTGTTAGATCTGCCATCAACTATGTAGTGCAAGGCCCTGTTAAATGGTCACAAATTGATTGAACAGTTTAGGTAGATCCTCATATGACATAGTTTTGGTAAATCTAAAGTTGATTGTTCAAAGAGTTTGTGGTCATATTGTGTCTTGGTGGTGGATTTTATTCGCTGATCAATGTGTGATTCAATCTGAATGATTGAAAGTGCAAACAATTGAATAGCCATAACTTTCCTTCTGTTTGATACAGACTCCATTGAGATCAGATTCAATCAAAGGGAACTGATCAGGCCAGGGCACAAAATGAGCAATCGTTTTGCATCAATTGGGCAGTGCTGAGACAGTTTGATCATGAATACAATCATATTTCAATCTACTGGATCATGAGATTACTGTATATGGTGAAAACTGAGATGCAATCAATAATTTACGATCGTATCTTAACTATCGATCAAAAACCACTTTCCCATGTTAGAATATTGATCAAATGGGTTGTCCACTATAGACTGATTATTCCTATTGGAAGAGATCCTGTATCGAAGTATGTATGGCCAATATAAGAGGAAGGATTACATTCATGTTTCCAGAATAAAATGTTATTAATGATGCAGAATAGACACGTACAATTCGTTTTGTTATGAATTCAGATGTATCCGAATTTCTGAATCACAACAGTAATGAATTTCAACAAATCCAAAATAATTTATAACAAAATGAATTATCCAAATTTGAAAATGAATTTGAATTGAAAAATAAATTTGAATTGGAAACATATTTTTTTTTTTATTTCAGGTATAGCGTCGTCAATTTGCGCAGCGCTTTTACATATATATTGTACATTCACATCAGTCCCTAACCCTCAAGGGGCGTACAATCTAAGGTCCCTAACTCACATTCATACATACACATACTAGGGCCAATTTAGACAGGAGCCAGTTCACCTACCAGCTTGTCTTTGGAATGTGGGAGGAAACCAGAGTACCCAGAGGAAACCCACACAGGCACAGGGGGAACATGCAAACTCCAGGAAGGTGGTGCCGTGGTTGAGATTTTGAACCAACGACCCTAGTACTGCCAGGCGGAAGTGTGCTCAATATTGTAATAAATACAGTAAGGTATAAAAGTGAAATTCATACTAAGGCTGCTTTATAGAATAGCAAGAAATAAAACAGATAGAAAATAAAATGAGAGAATGGAGGAGACTAGACTAGAATAGAATAAAACTGAATAGACTAGAATAGACTAGATTAGAATAGAATAGAGCAGAATAGAATATATTGGGGTAAAACAGAAAAGAATATAAAATAAAAGAACAGAATAGAACAACAGAATAGAATAGAAAAAAATAGAAAAAGGATAGACTATAATGAAAATAAAAGAATAGAATACAATAAAATTAAAAAAATGTAATAGAATAAAATAGAATGAGATATAGTCATCTTCCGAAATCTGAATTTCAAAATCTGAATTTCAAATTTCAAATCGAATTTAAATTTGAAAATAATGAATATATGAATGGAATCCAAATATACAAAGCAAATTCTGAAAACAAATCATTCTAATATAACACATATGAGGAGACAATATTATTAACTTAGCAAACGAATCTGAAACTAAACAAATTGTTCTGTCTTGCACATCTCTGAAGCAGAAAATTGGCAAGAAAGAGAAAGAAAAAGATGGAAAAACAATATGTGGCTTATCATCTGATATATAAAACACTGTCACTACATCCACAATCTATGAGGCGCTGAAAAGAAATAAAACAGCACAATGTCAGATGTGTATATGCTGATGAAATAATGCAGCTGGACAGGTGGAGGATGTGTGTGTTCCTAATCTCTTCTTGGTAAGTAGGCGGATGGTGAAAGAAGAGGGAAAAGTCCCACAACTAAACAATATTTCTATCCACTAGTCAAATCTCTAGTTTTTATCTTACCCCATACAGGAAAATTCCTAATGTAATAATAATGTGCATGTATTTTGCTGGAACTACTGAAGATTTTCAAAAACAAATCTGATAGCCCTTATACACTTTTATATCGAGACATTTTTTCCACCGAGACATGGACTCCACTGGACAAGGCATCACACGGCCTCCACTGGCTTGCCTTCCTCCCATAAAACATCCGGAGACATCTCTTCACCAGGTAAGCAACGACCCGGTCATCCACATGATGTCAAAGAAACTGTGATTCACCAGATCAGGCCAACGTCTTCCATGGTCCAGTTCTGATGTTCACCTGCCCATTGTAGGTGCTTTTGGCGGTGGACACGGGCAGGGGCAGACTGACCATTCGAGCACTCGGGCACTGCCCGAGGACCCAGGGTCAGTAGGGGGCCCCATGAAATGCCCCTGGAACTTTTTTATAGGCTTTTTTGAGTGTGGGCAAGGACACAGGGGCCCCATGATCCCCTATTGCCCAGGGGCCCCATGAGTTGTCAGTCCGCCCCTGGACATGGGTCAGCAGGCACCCTTAGTATCATCCATGAGTGCAAAGTGTGCGGTGCACACGGGCCCCGAGAGAGATGGAGCCCACTGTGTTTGTAGGTAGTCTACATTCTCCACTGCAGGTGGTACTCATCTGGAACGGCAATGTAGCTGGAGGAGGAAGTCAAGAGAAACTAGGTTTCTTTATGATTCCCTTGGTCTCATGGGGCAGCATTTCAGTTGGCTATACTGGATCCAGGTGACCCTGGCCATATCTTGGGTCAAGAAGAGTCTTTTTAAGTCCCCACCCCTGGTATTTGGTGCACATTTGCAAAGTGGCTAGTGTAGGGACAGCATACCTGTCTGTCAGGGACAGCACTAGCGGCAAGGAGAGGTTCCAGAGGAGGAGGAGGGAAAGCTTAGAGCCTGCTTCTTTATCTTCAGAACCCAACACTGTGAGTTGGACCAGTCAGGCCTCATTCTCCTTGACAGGTGCTGTCTTCAGTCCGAGGCTAATTATTAGTGACTCTCCGTTCCAATTTTTGTAAGTTCCCAGTTGGGTGAACTATCCCTGCCAGGTTGTTGTACTGTTTACTAGTTCTGCAATACATCATTTCCTGCGTCCCGGGCCTCTGTACGTTTACTGCTGCTGCACCATACTGCACCTACCCAATATGCTCTCACCCTCCTCACCCATGGAGGAGACAATGCTAGAAGAGGAGACACTACACCCCTGCACTCGCACCTGTCTCTGCCCGCTCTCTGCCTCTAATCACAGAGATCCTGTGTGACTCGACTCTCAGTCACACATAGATCCTCTTGATGGAGTTGAGAGCAACTGTCCAGGGGAAGATACTGCTTCTCAGGAGGGCAGGGCACTGATGTCATCTACTGGAGCCAACAAAAAAAAAATCTCCCATTCATGTGAGAGATGTGCCTGAGAGAGATGAGGTCTCTGGATTTAGGGACTGTGAGGATGGAAGAGAAGACTAAAGATGGAAGTGAAGACTGAGGATGGGGGGAGACTGAAGACTGCGGATGGAGGAGAAGACAGAGGATGGAGGAGAAGACTGAGGATGGGGGGGGGGAAACTGTGAAAACTGAAGATGACGGAGACTGTGAAGACTGAAGATGGGGGAGACTGTGAAGACTGATGATGGTGGGGTGACTGTGAAGGCTGGGGTTGGGGGTGCTGCCTGTGAACACTGAGGATGAGGGAGACTGTGGGGGGTGGGGGGGGGGGGGCAGTGAAGGCTGGGGGGGGCACTGTGAAGGGTGGGGGTGGTGACTGTGAAGACTGAGGATGGGGGGAGACTGTGAAGACTGAAGATGGGGGAGACTGTGAAGACTGAGAACAGGGGAGACTGTGAAGACTGAGGATGGTGGGGAGACTGTGAAGGCTGAAGGGTGGGGGGGACTTTGGAGGCTGGGGGTGGGGTTGGTGACTGTGAAGACTGAGGATGAGTGGAGACTGTGAAGAATAGGGTTGGGGGGGACTGTAAAACCTGAGGATGGTGGGAGAATTTGAAGACTGAGGATGAGAGGACTGTGAAAACTGGGGGTGGGGAGGGCTTTGAAGACTGAGGATTGGGGGGGCTGTAAAGACCAAGGACAGGAGGGACTCTGAAGCCTGGGAATGGTGCAGAGGCTGTGAAGACTGTGGATGGGGGGACTGTGATAGCGAAAGATGAGGGAGAGACTGTGAAGACCGAAGATGTGGTGGACTTTGGATACTGAGGATGGGGGGACTCTGAAGACTGAGGATGGGGGAGACTGTGAAGACTGAGGATGTGGGGGACTTTGGATATTGAGGATGGGGGGACTCTGAAGACTGAGGATGGGGGAGATTATGAAGACTGAGGATGGAAGGACTGTGGAGACTGAGGATGGAGGGAACTGTGGAGACTGAAGATGAAGGGAACTGTGGAGACTGAGGATGGGGGGACTGTGAAGACTGAGGATGTGGGGGACTGTGAAGACTGAGGATTGGGGGGGTCTGTGAAGACTAAGGATGGGGGGGACTGTGAAGACTGAGGATGGAGGGACTGTGAAGACAGAGGATGGAAACAAGCAAAGGTTAGTGCAGGCAGCAAGAAAAAGCCTGAGGGAAGTCAAAGTGAATACTAAAGAGTAGTTCACAAGCATGAAGTAGCTTTACAGGTAAAAAGACACATCTTTGATTAGGACTTAATTGATTCATCTGAATTCCATTTAACCATGCCTGATTGGGGCCAGGTGTGCAGTTGCAGTGGACTGGGGGGCAGCACTGAGAATAATCAGGCAAATGGCTGATCTTTCCAATTTTTTAAATTCCCCAAAGAACACATTGATTCATTGAACAAATACAAAAGCATGACCTGTCAAAGCTGTGTGTAGTTGTATGTAGGCCCTGAACAGCAGTGAGGATCTAGTAGAATAAGAACCCTGCCTTTGGTATTCAAAATACTTTGCTTGATTTCCTTAAAGAACTATACAAAGGTCAACTTTTAGGTCTTGCTTTCTGCTGAACTATTTTTTTTTTCCACTCAGGCCATAAATCAATTTTCTCAATTCGCTTCAGCATCGGCTACTTCAAGAGCCAGTGCAAGCAAAAGGAACCATTGAAGATAATGAATACTATTTTCGAGATTGGCAGCTTGACTGCTCTGTTTTACAGTATCATTTTTCACGAGGGTGTAGAAAGCCTTGAATTTACTTAAGGCACTGAAAGGAATAAAGTGACCTTCATGCCCTATAGAGTCTTAAAATGCAAAGAATAACATTGCAAGTCTGGAATGGAAACACGCTTTAATGTTCGCGTTTTACAAATTCTCATTGCACAGTGATGAAAGGTTTTGTCACATTTTACTTCGTATAATACTACACTGTATCAATTTCACAACATTTAATAATTGTCATGGCAGATAAATTGAACATGTGTGTGGGGCCACTTCTGCAGTGTTGGGTTATTTCACATGATGACACATACATATGGGTGATGAAATGTCATATATGTCATAAGTAATCACTCCTATGAATATACTATAAACCACATGTCCAACAGTTGCAGGTGGGTCAGTGGAGGCAATTGTACGCCATCCTGCAGAATAGATAAAATCTACAACTAAGTGATGATGCATTTAAAAAAAAAAAATAAAAACTGTTTCCATACCACTTCCTCCTCCCCCATGGTAAAGGCTTAGATCTTTTAAGTTGAACTCAGTTGATGATTTTATGAAGGACAATATGCATGTTACAGGATTATCGGTGATCTGAGTTTGAGGTATGACAAAGAGGCCGTCTGCAGTATCTGTATGAAAGAGGAGATCACAAAACACAAGTTGCTCACTTGCATTCCAATTTTAATGTGTCAAACAGAAATGGATCACATTATACAGAAAATTACTTTATAGTGGCAGCACAGGCTGCATGGAAAAGTGCATCAATTTGTATTAGAGAATTACTATTACTGACATATAGGGTACTAAATTGAGAAAGTGAATGGCAGAACAAACACAAAACTGAACAAAGATAGCATAAACAAAGTGTGACTAATCTGTATCAAAGAGGGGAGCACAAAACACATGTTGCACACTTGCATTCTGCGTTTACTGTGGGCTCACACTACAAATCATTAGAGCGCCCTCTAGCTGCAGCCTAGTAATAGCATTGCTGAGAGGTTTCTTCATTTACCTGCTGCATGCACTTGTCTTCATTCAAAACAACTGCAAAGTTAGGAAAAGGCAACTGTTGGACATGGCATTTATTGTATATACAGTTGCAAATGCTGTGGCATGACCTTAAGAGAGCGATTCACACCAGACATCCCAAGAATATTGCTACACTGAAACAGTTTTGTGAAGAGGAGTGGTCCAAAATGACTCCAGATCGTTGTGCAGGTCTGATCTGCAACTACAGGAAACGTTTGGTTGAGGTTATTGCTGCCAAAGGAGGGTCAACCAGTTATTAAGTCCAAAGGTTCACATACTTTTTCCTCCCTGCACTGTGAATGTTTACATGTTATGTGCAATTAAACCATGGCAACATCTAATGTTTGTGTAGTATTATGTTCAGCAGACTGTGTTCTTCTATTGCTGTGATTTAGATGACGTTCAAAGCACATTTTATGCCCAATTCATGCAAAACTCCACGTAATCCCAAGGGGTTCACATACTTTTTCTTGCAACTGTACAAAGAAGGGTTAATGACGATATATGTAAGCCTCTTCCCTCTAACGTCAAGTCCAAATGTGCGTATTTTTAAATAACGTGCAGAGTGCACCATGGAACCCAAGTTCAGTGAGTTCATTAAAGAGTAGCTCCAGTCATTTTTATTTAATTAAAATACAGCAGCTACAAAAACTGTAGCTGGTGACTTTTAATAAACAGACATCTCTCGCAGGATCCAGCAATGTGCTCACCCTAGCCATTCCTTCCCTCGGTCTTCTATCCATAGGTCTGGCAACTCAAATGTGGGCACCCGGCTGTGAGAGCTTGGTGCCCACTGGGTATGCGCAAGCTGCTCTGCGCATTGTGAATGGTCCCACAGTCTTCTGGGACCTGTGACGTGTCCCAAAAGACTATGGAGAGGGAGGGGGAGAGGAGAAAACCAGGTACCCACTCCCCCCCCCCCCTCAAAAAGTGCCATTTGGTGAAGAGGAAGGGAGGAGGAAGTTAAAGCGGAACTTCCCCTTCTGAGTGGAGCTCCGCTTTAAGTTCTAAACTCTACTTTCAATGGGCAACCATTATAATGGACAGCTTCACTCATTAACAGTACAGGAGAAAGGAGGGTTGAGCCAAGACTCTTTTTTGCCTCCTTACAAATAAGTTCTCCAACTCATCTAGTTCAGACCTTTTCAACTGAGTTTCTGCAGAACCTTGGGGTTCCAAGAGGTGTCTCCAAGGGTTCTGCCACCTCCACCTACCTGCTGCCCAACGATGGATTCAGCATCACCCCTGAAGGTTACTGCTGTGGTGGATTCACATTGATGATACTCTTTTAATTCCATCACCCAATATCACCACTAGTGAGAGGCTAAGGTTTGGGCTGAACCCATGGGAAACTGTCACATTATAGCAGGCCACCAGCCCAATTAGGTGTGGCATGGGGAATTCCTCGCCTCTCAGCTGCATATAACAAAGGGCAGGGTGATATCATTGACATCATTGGTCCAATATGGTCACATGGTCATATTTGGTTAACGTCAAACTCACCTCATCAGTAGTCACCAGCAGATGGGGACAAGTGGGGCAGATGCTGTGGAAAGGGAAAGTATGAAGTGACTGGATTGAGTGACTGACAGGAGAAAGGAGGGTTGAGCCAAGACTCTTTTTTGCCTCCTAACAAATAAGTTCTCCAACTTCATCTACTTCAGACCATTTCAACTGAGTTTCTGCCGAATCTTGGGGTTCCAGGAGGTGTCTCCAGCCATCTCCACCTACAGTACCTACCAGGGGCGGACTGACAACTCATGGGGCCCCCGGGCAATAGGGGATCATGGGGCCCCTGTGTCCTTGCCCAAACTCAAAAAAGCCTATGAAAAAGGTACCAGGGGCATCTCATGGGGCTCTCTACTGACCCCGGGCCCTCGGGCAGTGCTCGAGTTTCCAAATGGTCAGTCCGCCCCTGGTACCTACCGCCCAATGATGGATTCTGCATCACCACTGAAGGTTACTGCTGCGGTGGATTCACATCAATGATACTCTTTTAATTCTAGCGCCCAAAGTCACTAGTAGTGAGGGGCTAAGGTTTGGGCTGAACCCATGGGAAACTGTCACATTATAGTAGGCCACCAGCCCAATTAGGTGTAGCCTGGGTAATTCCTTGCCTCGCAGCTGCATATAACAAAGGGCAGGGTGATATCATTGACATCATTGGCCCAATATGGTCACATGGCCATATTTGGTTAATGTCAATGTCAATGTCAATGTTAATGTCAACCTCAGCTCATCAGTAGTCACCAGCAGACGGGGACAAGTGGAGCAGATGCTGGGGAAATGTCACATTATAGCAGGCCATCAATTAAGTGTGGACTGGGGAATTCCTTGCTCGCCTCGCAGCTGCATATAACAAAGGGCAGGGTGATATCATTGACATCATTGGCCCAATATGGTCATATTTGGTCCATATCAACCCCAGCTCATCACTAGTCACCAGCAGATGGAGACAAGTGGAGCAGATGCTGTGGAAAGGGAAAGTACGAAGTGACTGGATTGAGTGACTGAAGGTACGAAGAAACTCAGTAAAAAGCAACCTTTTTTAAACTCAGAGTTCTTTGAGATGGATGGGCTGGGCGGACATTTCCATCAGACAAGGATAGAAATGTTACAGCAGAACAGTTCCAGATGGAAAGGAAATTAAAGGTACAATAGGGATTCCTTAAATTCAAATCTCCATACAGGGGATTCTGTGTGCTGGGTGCCAGTTATCCCATCTCCATGGAACCAGCTCCAATATCCGCCAAGCAAAAATGCAGTTAATGTCAAAGTAAATTTCATTTTTTTATGCTTTTATTTATTGTTATCCCTACAGATCATTGATCATGATAACGTCAGATGAGCTGTACATCGGACAATGTTGCAGTGGTTCCCCGCGGTATGATATCTTTTTCAAGGGTTCTTCAACCCCGTAAAAAGGTTCAGAAGAGCTGGTGTAGCTGTTGGCTCTCCTGTGGAAGAATGCTGTAAATCATTAAATTGATGGAGTACGCTGGATGAGTTTAACCCTTTTAAATAGACTCATATTTTGTGTGCTTTTTTTGGCATGTATTTTAATGTGATTCAGATGAGCTGAACTGTGCTGTGCTTGTTGTTTTCAAAAGAATACCTCAAATCAAAGTTTTATAACCAATAGGAATTTTTTAATAGTGCCTTCATTAATTAAAGTGTATGGTAAAGCCCAATTTAAATGTCTTACAAACGTAGATAGATACATCAAATATTGAGCAAAAAGCAAGAAAGTGAATGTTTTAAACCTGTTTACCTTTCTGGTTGGGGGCGGTAAAAAAAAACAGATGTTTGAGCTGCATTTTTATTGCCCCCTCCCTTCCCAATCTGTATGGGTAGCCCAGGGGCGGACTGACAACTCATGGGGCCCCTGGGCAATAGGGGATCATGGGGCCCCTGTGTCCTTGCCTAAACTCAAAAGAGCCTATGAAAAAGGTACCAGGGGCATCTCATGGGGCCCCCTACTGACCCTAGGCCCTCAATAGGGGATCATGGGGCCCCTGTGTCCTTGCCCAAACTCAAAAAAGCCTATGAAAAAGGTACCATGGGCATCTCATGGGGCCCCCTACTGACCCTGGGCCCTCGGGCAGTGCCCGAGTTTCCAAATGGCCAGTCCGCCCCTGGGGTAGCCTTATGGAGCTATACACATGCAGCAGCTGTTGCATTGCAGTGCAGCAAAAATTATCCACCCTTTCGGCAGTACCAACCACCCAAAGCGAATGGGGCTGCGTTGAAAGCACCCTGCAATGCACGTGGTTGCAGAATGGTGGTGCTGTTTATGGAGTTAAAACAGGCAGTGAGGAGGTGACAAACTCCTCTCCACTGGCAGTAGGCTTTAGAGAAAGACAGCTTGTCTTTGTATGGAAGTAGCAGTCTCTCTGCAGTGGTTGATTGCTGCAGAAAGACCGCTAATAGGGTGGGTTTATTGCTATAACACCTCCTCCCTGCCTATCAAACACCCTCTGAAAAGCGATCCACAGTGCATCACTCTCCAAAGGGTTCCCGCAGGTGTAAACTAGCTCTCACTGTTGCTAGAAGTTTAATTGATCCTTGGTACCAGTATAAACTCCTCTTCACTAGCAAGCTTCAGAGTAGGACCGTCGCTGTGCAGGTGGACTGCTGCGGAGAGACCGCTAATAGGGTGGTTTTATTGTTGTTCTAGGGCAGTGGTTCTTAAAGTGGTACATATTCAACTTTGATTCAGAGAAACAACATCTGCTGACTCCCTCACCAGGGATATCATCTTCTACCTGGCTTCTCCTGGGCCCAGAATGACGTAACCAGGGGCGGACTGATCATTCGAGCACTTGGGCACTGCCCGAGGGCCCTGGTTCAGTAGGGGGCCCCATGAGATGCCCCTGGTAGATTTCATTGGCTTTTTCATAGGCTTTTTCATGTATGGGTGAGGACACAGGGGCCCCATGATCCCCTATTGCCCGGGGGCCCCATGAGTTGTCAGTCCGTCCCTGGACGAAACTCATTCATCCCAGCACCCGCCAGCTGTTGTGATTGTAAAGTGAGCTGTACGCCTTCCCCTTAGTGTACACACATAAGAAGAATGCAGGTAAGACGCCTCTATCGCAGAACAAACATAATATGTATCTTCTGCAAGAACAAAAATCTTCCCGCTCACAATTTTTTTTTTGTTTTTTAAGGGCTGTTGTTTCTGCTGAAATCTTTTTTTTTTTTTTTTTTTTCATGACTTTTAAAAACAATGGAATTCCTTCACTTCTACCCCAACTGGGTTCATGATGGAACAAATTGGGGACAGCATCCTTGGACCCTAATAGAAATATATTTCACCCTTAGTTAAAGTGTCTTTAAACCCAAATTATTAAAAACTGTCAGTACATCCTGTATTACATGCTGTTCATACTCTCTCAGTCACTTTGGGATTTATTTTCTGTATGCAGCAAAATACCTGGTTGATCCTGCTGTTCACTGTCCCTCCCTCCTTGTCTGTGTCCCCACTGCAGCCTGAGATTGTGTAGATCAGCCGTTTCCACATCTACTGAGCATGCTCCAGTTTCCGTTCCCCTTTAAGCTGTTAATCGTATTCCTTTTTCTTATCTGTACAGCCTATGTGACTATAGATTCACACATGTGGGTGTATACACTCCCCACAAAAATGACAAACCCACTAAACAGCAGCACACTATTGGGGGGCAAGATATTACATGTTGATTGATGGAGGCTTCACCTCCTTGTAATTCTAAGCACATGCTAACAATAAACACAGGCTGCAGGGATGAGATACAGGCTGTGATTAGCAGAACCCCCCCCCCCCCCCGGATAGCTCAAACCATAATTTTACACAAAAATAATAAAGATTTGAGTCCAAATACATATTTGTATGGCAATTTAAAACATCTCTTTGCTATTAATAATTTTTTTCTTTGTATTTAAAAGTCTATATTTTTTTCATCAGTGTTTCCCTGCAGACAGGCTGACAAAGAGCTGGGTCACGTGACAGCTGTGTATGAAAAAAGGTACTTAGATTTAGTTTTTACTAAAAAATATATACAGTGCCATCATCTATATGCATAGGCAAGGGATGTAAATTAAACATGTGTTAAACATCAATTCAAAGCTGAACTTCAAGCAAACAGCTAAATACCTGCCACAAGATTCTGTCCATTCATTCCTCAGATTTGCCAAGCCATGTCAGAAAGCATAGCCAGTCTGGGGACCCAACGTTCCTCTTATCCCAGCCTGTGAATGGACAGCAAACGAGAAGCAGCAGGCTGATGAGCTCATCCCTCTGCTCAATCATTTATTTCTTTTTTTTCTACCACCATGCTCAGCGGAGCACTGCTGGAAAACTGATTGGTTACTTGAACTACCCCCTCTCCCTTTTCAAGTTTGAGCAATTCTTTACAGGGGATAGCAAGAGGCTTATGCTACGCTGGCTATTTACACTAGATGATTTTTTCAATGAACACATACCTGAATGAGCTCGTGGTTTTTTTCTACCTAGAGTTCAACACTAAAAAGTAACTTTACTTTTGATGAGAAAAACTTTGTAGCAGATTCCTATTTCTGCTCTAAAGGAATAGCTGCTCTAAAGGAATAGCCTGATTCTTCATGGGAGGGTCTGGTTCATTATAATCACCTGACACTTTCAGTGTTCTGATGAGAAAAGTTGCAGTGTCTGCATCCCTTTAGAGACGTAATTAACCCTTAGGGAGTAGCTCAGGCAAATAACATTTGGGCAGCACAGTGGCTGAATGGTTAGCACTTCCGCCTGGCAGTACTAGGGTTGTCGGTTTGAAATCCCAACCACGGCACCACCTGCCTGGAGTTTGCATGTTCTCCCTGTGCCTGCGTAGGTTCCTCCGGGTACTCCGGTTTCCTCCTACACTTCAAAGAGACATGCTGGTAGGTGAATTGGCTCCTGTCTAAATTGTCCCTAGTATGTGTATGTATGAATGTGAGTTAGGGACCTTAGATTGTACACCCCTTGAGGGTTAGGGACTGATGTGAATGTATAATATATATATATGAAGTGCGGCGTAAATTGATGGCGCTATATAAGTACCTGAAATAAATTAATAAATACACGTTTTTGTTGCAGGCGATGCATAAAATCTCAGTGCATACTTCTAGGAAAATAAGTGAGCCAATCACAAAAACAGGAAATGATGGTGTAACATGAATTTTACCGAAAATTACAGCGGCTGCTAAGCAGATTAAAAAATGTAAAGGTCAAATTTTAAAAAACATTAAATTACAATATGATTTGTGTAACAATTGTATATGCTGTATTTTTTTTATTTGCTATTTTTTTCATACGAAAGTGGAATTACCCTTTCAAGCGGAAGAAAAGCCTAAGACTGACTATTCTAAAAAATGCTTCCTTCCCCTTCTTTCTACCCACGTGGAAGAAAAATATATTTTAAAATTATTCTTCCCAAATATATTGACATATATTTGAAATGCTACAATTTTGGTCGTATTCAATACATTTCAAAATATATTTCAATAAACATATATATATGTATATACTGTATGTTGAAATACATTTTTATTACAAAATATATGAAAAATATTTTTAAAAATACATTTTCAAATATACTGTATGTCTTTAAAAATACAAATCTACGTTTTTGGAATGCATTTACAAATATATGTAAAAATATATGTTAAAATTACTTTTTTATATGTTAAAAAAATCTGAAGAATATATTTTAAAAAAATATACATTTAAAAAAAAAGTATATGTGTGTGTGTGTATATATATATATATATATATATATATATTTTTTTTTTTTTTTTTTTTTAAATAAATTGAATATGGCCAAAATTGTAGTATTTCAAATATATTTTTCTTCCATATGGGTACCTATCCTGCCTAACATGTATATAAACAATCTGCGTACTGATGTATTTTAAAGTGCAGCTCCACCCAAAAGGGAAAGTTCCATTTTATAAACTGGTCCCCCCACTCCACGTGAGAAATTGGCACCTTTGGTACTCGAATTTGACAGGTACCCGCTCCCACTTCAGCTCTGCCTGCCTAGGCAATCAGAAGCAGAAGTTGTCCCCCCCCCCCCATAGTCTTTTGGGACACATGAGAGGTCCCAGAAGACTACGGGACCATACACAAGGCGTAGCGCTACTCGTGCATGCGCAGTGTGTGCACCCAGCAAGCTGTCACAGCCAGATGCCCACACTTAAGATGCCGGCTCTGGGGAGAGAGGACAGCGTGGTGTGAACACAATGCTGGATGAAGGGACAGGTGAGAGTCTGTTTTTTTAAAAGCCAGCAGCTACAATTTTTGTAGCTGCTGACTTTTACTTTTTCACTCCGCTTTAAGGCTCCATGCACTCTAGCGTGAAAACTCTTATAATAGCGATTTTGTGCCGGATTTTGTGCGGGTGGGGGCGTGGAATAGCATTTTAGTAGTGTTTATTAGCATTTAGGAGCATTAGCATTTTATTAGCAATTTTTACAGCACATGGAGGGAAACAAATGATCAAAGAAGCTGTTAGGTGCATTTAGTATCGTTTAGAAGCATTCAGTGTTTTTTTCTGCCGGGAAAACACTCCCAAAAACTCTACAAAAGCAATTTTTTTCTGCTCTTAAATCCTGAAGCTTGGAAAATGCTTCTAGCATAAAATAGTGTGCATAGACACATATGATAACACTGTGAGCTTCTAGGAGCAGAAAAAAATTCTCAAAATAGCTTCTAGGAGCTTAAAAAAGGCTAGTGTGAATGGAGCCTTAGTCCACTCCAGTCTGGTCACATGATCCTGCAGCTCCAGCTCAGGGAGCATTCAGCAATGACCTGAAAATTCTGGAAGCCCCAATGTCACACTTAGGCTCCCAAGGCCCAGCCATTGTTGGCACTCCCTCCTCTCCCCTGCAGCAGCTGCTCACTGGCATAGGGAACCTGGAGCTGCAGGATCACATGACTGGACCAAGGTGGAATAAAAGTAGGTAAGTACACACATCATCTTTTTTATACAAGTTACCAGGATATGCAGGGGGAAGAGAGCGCTTTTAAAATTAGACATTGGAGTTATTTTCACTTTAAGGATTCCTGATCTACGAGAATAAAATGATGAAATGAAAGTATATGTGAACCCTCGCCTTATAAAATAACCCAAGCTTAAAATAGAAATGCAAGGCAAAACTTTTGTGTATAGATATAAAAAAAATTATAAATACCCATTTTTTTTTAAAGTGATCACATGCGCTGTTCTCAGCTGCATAAGAGATGGGGGTGAAGACTGCAGGTTGGTGTGTCAGCAGGAGGAAGAGAAAGAGAAAGACAATGATCTTCCCGGAGAAGAGCTGTGCGGGGGAGGGGGGGGGGGTGTCAGCACAAATTTTGGCAGGCAGGCAGGCTGTTCTCCCAGCACAGCAGAAAACTGATCACCCTGGGATGGATGAGCTCTCCTGCCTAGTGTGGTCAGTTTGAAATAAGAAAGCAGAGAGGCTGGCAAGATCAGCAGGTACTTCACACAAATGAAGCAATGCAAAGAGAACAGGATGCTTTTTAACTAGTTCCCACCTGGCCTATTGTACAATGACGGCAGGGCAGGACCGCTCTCATTCTGGGAGGACGTCATATGATGTCCTCCCATTCTTGTATAGCACATCACCGATTGCTGTAAAGAACCAATGATGTTGGCTCTTTACCATGTGATCAGCTGTGTTCAATCACAGCTGATCCCATGTAAACAAATACTGGTCATCAGCATTTCATTTCCTCAGCAATGTCACTGTCTGAGAAAATAAAAGCCAATAACTGGCTTTCTTGTGAAAGAGGACATTTGCACTGATAATCAGGGCACTGATCATTGGTGCCCTGATTATCAGTGCAGCCCCCTCAGTGCAGCATATCAGTGCCCATCAGTGCAGCATAGCAATGCCTATCAGTACAGCATTTCAGTGCCCATCAGTGCAGAATATCAGTGCCCATAAGTGCTACCTTATCAGTGC